CCCTGTGGTACACCATGGCAGGTTCAGAATCTTGCTCCTTACTAAAATTATGTTGAGATTTATTGGTTTGCTTTAGATCAATCTCTCACAGTCTATGATATCTTGTCTGCTGGGATGGGTGGCCTTAGTGGATTGAAGATCTCTGTGAAAGTTCTGTCCCTTACTTTTCAAGCTGGAATCGTTGGTTAGTGTTCTTTCCCTGTTATCCACAAGCTGCTGCATCTCTATGATGTTGAAGATACTGCTTTATTTCATTCTTTTTTGCACTCTTAAGATTTCTGACCTTGTTCTCTCTATTTCTCTCAGAGCCATTCTATGGTACAATTTGCTTATACAATAGGTAGAGAAGAGAAAAATTGTCAAGAAGATTTCTATTTTAGCGTTCTACCAACTGAAATGCAGGATGTAAGCCTTAAAACTGATTTAGCATTAAATTCTTTGGTGCTTTGGTTTTTTATATTGATGACTTAAAAATTCACTCTTTCTCATTTGCCTGGACAGACTGGTAAAGTATCTTTGGAACCTCGTGGACTTTTCTATTTAGATGCTCCGTCTGCATCTGTGTGTCTACTAATCCAATTAGAGAAGCCTGCAACAGAAGAAGGGGGAGTGACTTCTTCTGTTTATTCACGTAAAGAACCTGTATGTATGAAGAACTTAATTAGTGACATATTTCCAATGTTTAGAAGAAATTTTCCAAAATGTAAACGTATTGATCTATCATTTTTTTTTATATTTAAATTTGCTAATGCAAGTTTGTAGTCTCTAAGTATGTATGCTGCATTATAATTACTGTATAATTTAAGAGCATTAATATTTCTCATTTCAAAGCAGCTAGCTCTCCTAAACTTCATATATTTATAAAAAAAAAAAATTGAAATTATATGCTTAGTTGAGTTTATCAAAAAAAGGTATGAGATCAATTCCATATAAATTCTTTTTCTTATTATTATTTTTTTTAATGTCACCAAGCCATCGGGAAACCTTGGTCTCATTGGTGATTTGATGCTAATTTGTGTCAGGTTCTGGCTGAAAAAGAGTCTGAAGATGGTGTATTTCGAATGCTTCACAGTGATGTAACCTGGTTTTTTACCACCATTCTTATTGGCACTACGTACTAGTCTTTCCCATCATTACTTAACTGATCCAGTTCTGTGTGTCTATGTTTGACCTTGGTGTGTGATTTATTTTTAGATTCCATTTTTGTCACTAGGGTGGTCAATATTGGAACAACTGCTTTAGTTACAGACACAGCAACAGCAATATTTGGAGAAGCTGGTGTTAGTACAACAACTGGAATAGTGACTATGTATATAAGAATTCTATCCTCTTTATGTGCCCCACAAACCCAACCTCCTTGCCTACCTCTATTCGTGCTTGTATGTAACTCATTGTCAATTTGTAGTAAATTAGAGTAAAAGGCTTAAATTTGTTTCAGGATAAATCTCTTTAAGTTAGCTCCTGAGTCGTAGAGTTTTCTGTTACAAAGTTTTGTACTCCCTTTGTAAACAATAAAAGAGGAATGAATAAGAAATCATGTTGGATAACTCTAATAGACTGCAGAATAATCAAAAGGTGGGTGGTGTGGTTATTTGTCATTCTTTTTCCTTTTTCCCTCTACCTCTATGACAATGTGAAGGTGGTAATGGTAAATGAGCTGGATCTTTTGTGACATAGGGTCTTTGAGTTGGAGATTTGGTATTTTAGGTGGCTCTAGGACTTTCTGTGGCATAGATACTTGCATTTCAACTCTTGCATGGTTGTCATTCTTTATTTTGTTTGTTTTATTTTATTTTTTGATATTGTGGGTATCCAAACCTTTGGGCATCAATCATTCTTTATACGGTAGATTAATTTGGATATATTTCTCTCTTTATATTATTGGTAAAGGAGTTGATATTTTACTAGAAAATCAAAACAATATCTTGTATATTGTACATGACAGGCTTAGCTTATTTCCTTCAAGGGGGGTTTTCTGCTTATACTGTTATTATTATTATTTTTTTTTCCTTTCTCTGTTTTTTCTTCAACTCACTTATGAAATTATTAATTTGAAGCTATCCCACAGAGCAACAACAAATGATCTTGGATCTTCTTATACTTTTTGTTTCCTTTTCTCCTAAATGAATTTGTTTCCGGTCTATATGTATCTGTGCACATTGAAAGGCATAGCACCTTTGTTAAATAAAGAAGAAAAAAAATGAATTTCTTACTTTTTGCCATTGCAATTTTGAGTGTTAGGTAATATGTTAAACCCAGGTATGCCTGGGTGATTATTGTAGATATTTTGTTTTCATGCAACAGAAAAGCTTGCCTTTTTCAAGGAAAAAAAGAAAAGAAAAGAAAAGTGAACATAAAAGATAGAAAGAAATCATAATCATTGAATTTTCTCTGAATGATTTCTTACTTCTTGCCATTGCAATTTTGAGTATTAGGTGATATGTTAAACCCAGGTATGCCTGGGTGATTATTGTAGATATTTTGTTTTCATGCAACGGAAAAGCTTGCCTTTTTCAGGGAAAAAAAAAGGAAAAGAAAAGTGAACATAAAAGATAGAAAGAAATCATAATCATTGAATTTTAATTTTCTCTGAATGATCCTAGGTTGCTATTTTGCTTCTTACTGAGATCACTCCAAAATGTATAGCTGCTCACAATCCCACAGAGGTGGCTAGATTTGTTGTAAGTTTTTCATTTAAGTTTCCATTTTCTTCTTGAACTTGCAACTAAAACTTTGCTGAAAATCTTTAACTTTCTGTTTAAAACTCCATGGTCTATGTTGCTATTTAACTCTTTTCTACTTAGCTGATGACTGCTAGCAAACTAACATTATTTGGCTAATGCTGTTTGCTGTGTCATTAGGTCAGGCCAGTGGCATGGGTTTCTTTGATACTACATCTACTGGGAAGAATTGTTACTTATTTATCAATGGGAATAAGGAAATCATATCCTCCATTTTGTCTGTTGCATTTCTTGTTTGCAATTGTTTGTTACTGTCTCTTGCATTTCTTGTTTGCAATTGTTTGTTAGTGTAAGTTTGTATTGACTGCTTTATGAATGCTTTGGATGTTTTCTCTTTAAATTAGTGAACCTTATGTTATTGAAGATGAATTAAAGCTGATGCTACGTGGGGCAGAGTTGAGTGGAGCAATAGAGGAGGAAGAGCAGGTAGTGAAATAAGCTAATTTTTCTTTATTGTACCGCTTGAGTGTCTCTTTTGTTGCAAATAAGAATTAGAAAGTTTCTTCAGTTTCTGAATTCTTTTACTGAGATGAAATTGATCGGTATCATCTATGCTTGACTCTGGTTGTGCATTTACAATAGAGCATATCTTTTTCTTGCCATATATTTCTCTACCAATTTCTGCTTAAATAGTCAGATTCTAGAGGAAATCCAATTTAATTTCTTTGCCAACAGGTGCCTATCTGTTTGTTTACAGTTCAGATGCTCAAATTTTATGAATTCCTTGCAGAATATGATTGAAACCGTATTAGAGATAAAGGATACTCATGTCAGAGAGGCCATGACACCCCTTGTTGATGTGGTTGCAATTGATGCGAGTGCAACTCTTGTTGATTTTCACCATCTGTGGGTGACTCACCAATATTCAAGGTAGGGAATTGGTAATTCATCTCTAAGGCTTTATCTCCTTCAAGAAACTTGTTAAAAGATTTTTGTTTACAGGGTACCTGTTTTTGAGCAGCGTGTTGACGATATAGTTGGCATTGCATATGCAATGGATCTACTTGATTTTGTTTGGAAGGTCAAGCAATTTCTTCCTTTGACACACCCTTTTTTCCATCATTTAGAACTTTCTTATCAATTATATGCAACAATGTCAATATCATAGCGTGCAGATTTGTAATCACTTTAATTTTTATTTCTTTTTTTGGGAACTGGTGAAGGGTGAGCAACTTGAAAGTTCTACTATGGGAGAAATGGCTCACAAACCGGCCTACTTTGTGCCTGGTAACCCTTGACTTTTTTCTCTAGTTGATATTTTAATGATGTTCTTTGTGTTGATATAAACACTTTCTAGCTTTTCATGACACAATCCACTGGTTGATTGACGTAGTTGCATAGTTTTTTTTTTTTTTTTAATTGCTATTACCCCATATTCTCACCTTATTATCCACACTTCTTTTCATTAGACTTGTTTGTTGTTTTAGTAGTTATTGTCTAGGGGAAAAGAAAATGGAAAAAATAGAATGCTTCAACTATCTATACAGTAAAATTTAGAAAGTTGGTTTTGCAGATTCAATGTCAGTCTGGAATCTTCTTAGAGAGTTCGGAATCAGGAAGGTTCACATGGCTGTTCTTAATGAATATGGTGGAACTGTTGGGATCTATGCAAAGCCTCTTATTGAAACTTTACCTAAACAGAATCATCCATTGTGTTGAGGTTTTTTATTGTGATAAAGTGCCAACTTCTGCCATTTTGTTTATTTTTATTTTGTTTCCAGTTTCTGGTCTCTTTTAGTCTGGCATGTATTTTGTCTGCATTTTCTATGTGACCAAAGAATTTCCTGTTACTTCTCACGTCATGTAGATATTTCTTTACTCTATAGGTCTCATATCAATTAGCATTACAAGGTTGAGCTCTGCCTGATTCTTAAA